AGTTTTGTTCTGAAAAATGACCTTCGTAATCAAGAGATCTCAGTCTCTGCTTAGATTTGCCAAGATACTCAAGGCTCCAATATATAGATGATACTCACGTTTGTCCAATAAAACATAACTGAGAAGTCAAATTAATCTTTTTTTTTTTTTCCTTTTTATAAAAATATTTTCTGGGTATATGTCACTTTTACATAGCAGAGACGTGTTTGATGTTCAGTGATTGTGTGCGTGTGCCATTGTGGCATATTGAGTCTAGACACGTTACATCTCAGTTGTGTGGTGGTATTGATGTGTTGAGATGAGATCCGTTTTGTTTCCATCTGTTTCTCTCATGTGTGGCGTTTACATTCATCTCTGCTCTACATTCATGGACTGAGAAAGTCTTCTTCCCAATGCCTTGCTGCTTAATTCTGCTCTCTTTTCTCTCATTCACTCTCACTCTTTTGTGCTCATCTGATCTGTTTCTTCCGCTTCTTCATCCTGATCATGTTCTTCTTCCATTTCTCCTTCCAATGTTTCAAATTCCCTCTCTTTATCATTTCTTCATTTTCCCTCTCTTTCCCTTCATCTGGCTCTTGGGTCATTGCTTGCTTCCTCCTGTGCTACTTACTGGTGAGTTCTGATGCTCCTACACCAGCTGCAATCCCACAGTGCATTGCTGCATTGCAGAATAGGGCTTTAGTGAATTCAACTGAAAGACTGCTAGCCAAGCTATGAAGATTACAAGATGGGTGGATGAATGAATGGATGTTTGGATGCTTTACAAAGATCTCTAGAGTGACATTCTGTGCAACAACATGTAGAAACTAATAGTAGAAAAGTACATCATGCGAATATTGTTGTCTTTAGACTTGTTTCACAACATATGCGTAAGCAGTAGCGCATATTCATTTCAGTGCCCATATTAAACGGTTATAGGATTCACACTGCACATGTAAGCACTGCAGACTATTCTGCTGCACTTAGTGTCCTGAATTTAGCAGAAAATATGTTGAAAATGCACTAAATATATATATAGGCTTTTATAAAGGAGCATAAAATAGTGGAGGAAATTACTCACCCTTTGTTACATGAAAAAAAAACGCCTGTCAGGCTCGATTATACATGCAGCAACACGCAAATAGCATTTCTATTCAGTGAATCTGACTTAATCCAGATGATTTAACCCACTGTAATTCCACTCGCTTAACTTTAGGGGCTCCAAAATTGTGTGTTTTAATAATTAATAGATGTAAATTAGTTTGGGTGTAAACTGTGATCCTCCTCTTCTCACAGGCCAGTATTTAAAGAAATAGTGTTGTTTTAGTATTATTGTGTACTAATATAGTTTTTAATTAATATTTTGAATTAGCTTTTTTATTTACATTTTTATTTGAATTTTATTTTTTGTAATTTGTAATGTGCTTTTGTCATTTTTATTATTCTTTTGTATAATATTTCCATTTATTATATATTTATATATTTTTTTTATATTTTTATATTAAATGTTACTATTTAGGTTTAATTTTATTTCAGTTTTAGTTTTAATTTCCAGCTATTTGCCAAGGCAAAGTTTAGTTGAACTTTTTCATCTAATATTTATATTTTATTTTAGCTTTATTACAGTTAACAAAAACATTTTAATAGTTAACCTTAAAAACCCAGTGTAGTAACCCAGAAATCATGTTATTTTCAGTATTTAGCTGCAGTTTGTGGTGTCAATATAAAAGCACAAAGCAAGTCTTTTGGTAGTAGTATGTTCTGCTTATCCGTGCTGTGTGAAACAAGTCTTATACTTTAAATGATGATAGTAATGTTAACTGTTATGTTGAAATTAATGTTTAATGTTTCATGGCTTTGTGTGACTGTAGTTGATGATAGAGCTCAGCTCTCTTTCTTACTGCTCTCATCTTTTAGATTTTTCTTGTACTGGTTGCCATAGAGATATGCACTGTATAATGGTTGTTAGTGTTCAGTTAAGCTCCCTTTTTTTTTTTTAGTGTTACTCAAAATCAAGCTCACTATGTTTCTCTTACTCTTCACTCCCCCTTAAAGCTTTTGATGGATTGGGTGATGTGCTCATGCCAGCTATGGCTCCACAGGCAGCAGGGGCCACCTCACCGGTCAAACCCATGGGAGGAGATCTGGACTCAGCTATGGCCAACATGGCCAGCAGTACGTTCCCATCCACTTTTCACTTGGTGTACTCCAAAATTATAGTCTTAACATTAAAGTTTCCTTATTGGCATCAATGGTTCCATGAAGAACCTTTAAAAGGTTCTTTATAGTGGAAAAAGACTCTTTAGATTATTTAAAATGTTCAAATAATGGTTCTCTTAAAAACTGTTAACGGAAAGGTTCTTTGAGATACCCAAAATGGTACTAAAATGGTTCCAATCCTTTTAGAACCTTTATTTTAAAGAGTATAGCCAAACAGAATGAAGTTACAGCACTTTGAAATTTTAGGGTTCTTTACTGGAATCTGTGGTTCCATGAAGAACCTTTAGCATCCATGGAATCTTTCAATTCCACAAAATGTTCTCTATAGTGGAAAAGGTTCTTTAGATTATTAAAGTGTTTTTCACACTAAGAAAAAATGGTTCTTTTTAGAACTGTTGACTAAAAGGTTCTTTGGGGAATAAAAAATTGTTCTTCATGACATCACAGCAAAATGTAAAATTATATATTTCTGTGTCTATGCTTACAGATTTGGCAGTGGGGAACCAGAAACCGTAAGCTACAGTAACTTCCTTCTCTCTATTTCACCATATTTTCTTGCCCTCTTCAAATAAATCTTTTTGTACCTGTTCCTTTTCTATTTCTGTCTCTCTCTTCCTCTCAGGGGTGAAGCAGCTGGAGGGGCGAACTGGCAAGCGCAGGTACCCACCCCTAGCTGGGGCGTTGCCATGGTAAATGTTGAGTTCTGTAGATGTGGAGCATGGAGGTGGAGTCGCATGGCTTTGAGCAGCATGGCGTGGAGCCAATCACAAGCTTCCTCTTCTCCCCGACTCTCTCTGGGCTCCTATCAGTTGAACAGGACTAAACTTTCGAGGCGGAACTTTCTAATATATGAAACTTAGGGTTGAAATATTGAAAAATCAACTGTCCCTGAATGTTAGATAATTACATATTTTAAAAGGATGTTTCAAACTTTGAATTCATAATCCTAATCTTACTTTCACTTGCATTTGTGTGCATTGTGAACAAAGCCAAAGAGTAGCCTCAAGTCAAATTTACTTGAATATCACTTATCAAAATTACGGAGCCCCACACATTACTTGTGGGGGGAAAAAACACTGTGTCCACAAATTAAGAATTAGTTCCCACAACTTATTAAATTGTGGCTACGTTGAATGAATTAATTCACTCATTTTAATTACTTCAAATGAGAGAATGAATTAGTGCAATGTGGCCACGATTTACTAAAAGGAGAGAACAAATTCATAAACTGATGAAACAAATTCTTAATTTGTGGCCACAATAAATGGTATTTTCGTCTGCACATTTGCTATATATTTTGTTTGCTATATACTATATATGCACATAAAATTGAACGTATCCAAGTTTATATAAAAAGATAATATATTTATTTAATATAAATATATATGTATATAAAGAGAGAGAGAGCTGTTACATTACAGTTTAAGATTCAGATTTATTCTTGCTTTAGAGTTTCAGACCTGTTTGGCTTGACAGCCGCTTCCTTCTCTATTTCTTTTCTTTTTATACTACTAAACATATATGCATGCACATGCCTCATAAAACATTCAAATTCACACTTACATCAGACTGGTAACCACCATCCCAGGTGTGTGTGCAGGTTCCCTCCTGTGTGTCTGTGTGTCGTAGAGTCATTTTGTTCAGGTGTTGTCCTGTTCTGTGTGGTTTGATGCTAACCTTTCCCCCCCATCCCTCCCACCCGCTTAGACTTCCCCTCTCGGGGTCTGTCCTGTCATGGGATCCCCGTCACCGTTTGGCATGGTAAGAGTGTGTGTTTATGTGTACGTGCGTGTGTGCAGGCATATGTGTCTCTTACTGTGTCTCTGTGTGACTCACAGCCTGGTGCAGGAGCTGTTCCCATGATGCCTGGCTCACCGATGATGGCTGCGCAGCAACCGATGATGAGGCCACAGTTTCCCGCAGCAGGAGCCCCTGGACAACCGGTATTTTAGACATACATGCAGTTGAATTTACTGATATAGTCATTTAGACAAGAATGCTTAGTGTGTAAATACACACATACTTAATTATTGCTCCTCAGATGTCTCCAGGAATGGCTCAGAGTCCCAGGAAGCCTCCCCCTCCTAAAGACCCTCTCGCTGACCTCAATATCAAAGACTTCATGTAGATGAGCAACTGGTGTAAGTGTCATTACAGCTAGAGCAGATGTGCAGTTTGACGACAGGACACACAATGAGACACAAGCTGAATTTTTTTTTTCATCTGATGCATCTATTTTTTAATATTAAGAATATAGTTGAAAATAGCCTGCTTGTAGAAACAAAGCATTTACACGAGGCTGTAACCACCAGGGGAAGACAGTCCAATTAGTATTTAATCAATATGCAATATCTGTACAGTCATTCAAGATTTGGGACTTCTCATACACCACAGACACACACACACACACACACACACACATATAGTAAAAAATGTGTTTTTTAGAAAAAAAATCCTATTTCAGGCTTTCTACTTAAAAATTTCAATGTGTTACTTACCATTTCTTTCTAATAAGCTGTGCAATGTACTAGCGTGTTTTTTCCAGTGTATAATACTAAAATCTCTTTCTTTTTTCTCTATTGCAGTTGTCACACTTATTGTGCAGCTCTGATGAATCAGACGTGTATATTCTCTCTTCCGTTCATCACATTCAGGGACTCCAGTCCCTCCTTTTCTCTCCCTTTCCTTTCCCTGTCTGTTGTTGTAGCACAAACCGTGAACGTGAATAAGTACATGTGTGTATGTGTGTTTGTATTTCAATGTTCTCAGTTACTTCAGATCTATATATAAAATTAAAAAAAAAAAAGTACTATGAAACATGAGGAGAATGGCAGATGCATTCTTGAATGTGCGTCTGCAGGTCTCTTAATGATAGATGTGCATTCATTTTTCCTGGCTGGCTTTCCGTGGGAAATCAAATCAAAAGTGTGACGTTTTCTGTGGAAAATGTTTTTTTTGCTGTGGTGAATATCACTGGGCCGGTCTGTGTCATCATCAGTCGAGTATTAGTCATCTTTTGACCATGGAATAACTTCTGTGGGAACAATATCAACGTATTACGAGTTAAGATCTCACGCACTGTTTGTTTTTATCAATGCCCTGATTTGATTCTTTTTCGTATCTATCGATTGTGTTACATGCAACATGTGACTATTTGATGAAAATACATATGCATTTTAAAATATTTTAAAAGACAGATTGTTTTGAATATCCTTAGTCTTTATTTTGAGATAAAAAGGCTGAATATATTTTAGTTATGTCAGAAGTTTACTTTGCATACTACATGGCTAGTTAGTAATCCCATTTGTACAAATGTCTCTGTACATCACAAGGCACTGAGCCGATCGAGTCCTGCTAGTATGTATAATATAATATCGCAGCATGTAATTCCTCTGTTGTGTAAAGGGGACGCCAGTGAGCCAGATCAGATTCTATCAGAAGCAAGTTCACCTACATCTTAATCAACATATCAGGAATAGTTCAACCAAAAATTACAATTTGCTTAAAATGTACTCACCCTCAGATCATCCAAGATGTAGATGAGTTTGTTTCCTCATCAGAACATATTTGGAGTAATTTAGCATTAAATCACTTTCTCACCTCACCAATGGATCCTCTGCAGTGAATGGGTGCCGTCAGAATGAGAGTCCAAACAGCTGATAAAAACATCACAATAATCCACACCACTCCAGTCCATCAGTTAACGTGAAGAAAAAACCTGCGTATTTGTAAGGACCAAATCCATCAAGACGGTTTTAACTTCAAAATGTTGCTTTTGGCTAAAATATTAGTCTTCCATCTATAAAATTGCTTTCTCCAGTGAAAGTCGTTTCATCTGAATCAGGAGAGAAATATGCACATATGAATACAACAGGCAGAAACAGTTCTAAACACATATATTGGTGTGTTTTAATGTGAGAGGACAACAGGAGATGGACCTTTTTACTGGAGGAAGCGTTATTATGGATTATGGACTATTTTGGCTTTAAGCGACGTTTTAAAGTTAAAACACCTTAATCATGGATTTTTTTTTTCTTACGAACATGCAGCTTTTCATTTCACAAGAAAAAATTCATGTACTGGAGTGGTGTGGATTATTGTGATGTTTTTTCAGCTGTTTGGACTTTCATTCTGATGGAACCTATTCATTGCAGAGGATCCATTGGTGAGCAAGTGAAGTAATGCTACATTTCTCCAAATCTGTTCAAATGAAGAAACAAACTCATATACATATTTGATGGCCTCAGGGTGAGTGAGCAAATTTTCATTTTTCAATGAAGTATTTCTTTAAAATAGGACTGAATATACCTGGCGGCCTAGTGTTTTGTTGTATTGCAAGTGAGTGTGTTACCAATTCTATTTGCTACAAGTATCAAGGATATCAAAGGGACGAACGGCAGTTTCATGGGACAGTATTGCATTTTATTGATGGCTGGTTTTTTTTTCAACTGAACATTTTGTTGATAAATGTTATTTTTGGATGGAATAACACCCTCTGCCCCTCCCACCTTTGTGCATGTTAGTCCTGTTGAAATGCAATAAACAGTGATCTGGAGAGAAACATCATTTAGTCATTATTGGGTAAAGTGTTTCACAATGAGGATCATATAAACATACATAATCCCAATTCCGTGTCTCTCTCTGATGAACAAGCATCTAATATCTCTTTGTTACATGGCAAACAAACTATAGAGCTGAGGCAATCCAACACGTTGAGGCCAAGATGAAGATGGTATAATGTATTTTTGGCTAAAATAACGCTGACAAATTCACAACCTCTGAACAAACCAGTGTTGCCAAATGATGAACACTGATGGGTATGAATGGATATCAGACTCCCCAAATCTCATTCTCTGACAGTGTTTGGCATGAGAGAAAAATACCTCTTAATATATAAATGTGTAGTAGAAAAGAGCACTGATGGCTAACAGAGCGACAGACAGCATCATGTTCTTCCTGTTCTCTCCTCTCAGCACCTGCAGCTCCTTTTCTGAAGAATAAAATATAAAAGATACGATCAGATAAAACTGCTCTCACAGTCATTTTCTTTATCAAGTAATGCAATGCATCAAGAAATTAGAAATTTGGGTCATAATTTTGCATGCTTCATAACAACTTTAGGAAAATAGAGTATTTTGAGTAAACTAATCCACAAATTCATACACTGGGTATTAAGTGATTATTAAATTCGATGACCAATGCACTTAATTTTCATTGTCCGATTGATGTATTTTTGAACCCCCAACCATTCCACAAAACTGACTCACCATATTTCTGAATTATTTCATTCAATATGGTCATCTCATCTTCTAGGGCCAGCCTGTAAGTACATAAAAATACTCGTTTGCTGTGTTTCTGTATCAGGTTATGCGGCAAAATGTTGGCATAATCACCTGTCGTTGTCTGAGAGCTGCTCCTTTCTCTGTCTGAATTCTGCCCTCTCCAGGCTGTTTTTACAGTGTAATTTGCGCTCTTCAGTGCGGTCAATCTAAAAGAGACCAAGCTATGAGCATCATATTTCAGTAGATACACCGATATGACAGCAGACAATTTCATATATGATTTTTCAGAATAGCACAACGACATTATGATCTGTTTTACTTTTTATATATAATTTAATTTTTCAGTACACTGAAAAGTAACGTTATCTGTTAACTGTTTCATACACATAATATGGCATACAATTTCATATCTATTAAAATGCCAATTACCTCGCTTGCCACACTTATTTTCTTCAAGGTTCTTGATTTACTCATTTTGGAGGGTCTGACCATAGACTGTAAAAAAAGTCTGACTCTGAGGCTTTTACTCGAGGAGAAATCATGGGAATGGCAAACACTTCCGTACACGAATCCTTCACTCACTCTCTTGCTTGTCGCGCTCAGCCTATGGTGAGTTCATACTGCCCCCTGCTGTCAGAGCGGTGACATTTCATATTGGACACAGCGTCATCTAGCCACACATTCGCTCGCTGAATAGTTTTTATTAAAAAATATTCCAACGTTAATTAGTTTATTAGTCAATGGCAGCATTTATATTACTATCACTACACCATTTGTATTACTATTACTATAAAAAATTACTTTATTTATCAAGCTTATATTTGTACTGTAATACTGAAAAAGATCCTGTCACTTGATTTTACAGATCAGAATAAATTAAAGACTGTATAACACATACTACAATGTATTTTTTTCTTTTGATTTTTGAGTTAAACGATGATCCAGACTTCCACTCTGTTTAGTCTCTGTGTATGTGTGTAAATATGCAAAATAAGACAAATGACAATATTTAATAACACCTTATTTTTATATCAATAATACAATCTGCTGAATTGTTGTACAGTTTTGAAACTATTAAAGAGATACACAGTCCTGCTACTTTCTAATCAGGGTATATGTAAGTATTCCCACTACTGCCACCAGGGCGGCACCACCAACCAGCAGCACAGGGAGTTCAAAGGGTGCAGCTGAAAGCGGGTCTGCCTTTGGAACAACCTCTTCTGAAGATGACGCTGACACACTAGGTGCATTAATAGACTCTGATTCAGAGGCATGAGGTTCCTCTGAGAGTGTGACTGTGGAGGGTGGGAGATGATCTAAAACCTGTGAGATGATTTCAGGTATGGGAACAGAAGCCAGCGTAAAATCTAAAGGCTCAGACAGAAGGGGAGTGTGAGTGAAAACCGGCTCAGAAGCCACCTCTGCATCAACTTCCTCCACAACTGTCTCCTCCACACACATCAGGAGCTCCACACTCTGTGGAGGCTTGAGATCTGATTCTGCAGGAAGTGCTCCAATCTCTTCCAGCTCGCTGCCAATCATGATCAGCATGCTGCTCTGAAGCTCCTCCTCCTCATCTGACTCCGCCCTCTGATGGAGCTCCGCCTCTAGGTGGATGATGTCAGAGGTGGAGGAGTGGTTCTCGCTGTGGTCCTCTTGAACTAGGACCATCTCACTGGTCTCTAGACTTCCAACCTCTAGCTCCATGTCGCTAACAGATGCCCAGGACTCGGCTAGACTAGCAGTCTGCCAGGGGCCGGACCCACTGCTGCTCTCCTCCAGGCTTGAGGTTTGATCCTGGGGAGGGTCGGGTCCCGCAAACTGCCTGTCCTCAGACAGGATGGAAGACCTTTTACTCCTCTATGAAAATCTGACTAATCTTTACAGGTTCAGTGAGTCCTAAAAATGAGAGACAGAATTCATTCAGTCATGTAAGTGCCACTGATTAATTACATTAATATAAGCATTGTGGGGATGTAAGAATGTATTTTACAGCATATGTTTTGCTAACATAAGCTTTTAAGACATTTAATATAAGAACAAATTCAAAAATATAAAAAAGCCATTGACAACCCATTTTACTTCAGTGATTTGAAACATTTTTAAATGACAAAATCAACTTACATAAAAATTATATTAATAATGAAACAACAGCAACAATCCAAAAATTAATAATAGTTATAATCATCATCATCATCATCACCACAGAAAAAGAGTTTTACGTGAGGTTAAACACTGTGCCCATCAAAGACATAAGATGAGAATTATAGTATATTATAATCATATTTTAAATTTAAAAAAATGACAGTACATACATTCACACACACATACAAAAACTACTTTTTTTTCATTTTCATTTTTGTCCTCAATACTTATAAAACATTTATGTAAAATGTTAAACTTCTAATATCTTATATCTCTTTGTAAATAAATAACTGTAGCGAAGAAACCAAACCAAATTGAATTAATGAGAAATTAGAAAAAAAAATGTGGGACAGGATTTTGTCCATTAAGTCTTAAATCTGACTTCTGCAACATTTCATTAGTGTATCCAAGACAAATTACAATTACAAACATCCTAATCTATCATATCGTATCATATTGTGATATGTATAGGCCAGTAAGCTTATATCTGACTGGCTCTGTGTTTTTCTGTCAATATGGGGTGCTGTGTGTACATTAATGAGGAAAAAAAATTAACTTAAATGATTTTAGCAAATGGCTGCAATATAACAAAGAGTGAAAAATTGAAGGGGGTCTGAATACTTTCCGTACCCACTGTATATATCGCCATCTGTTCACATGAACAGAGAATGTCAGACATTTCACATGGCATGACAGGATCGTGGTTCAGTTCATGTAGCACTTACACAAAATGGACATACTGTATCTATGCTTACTCTTTTATGATTTAATTTAATTTGTCAGAGAAAAAAAATTCCTAAACTCATACATTTCCTGCTGACTTGGATTCTAAAGATTCATCACTGTCTATAAATACATAAATAAACAAACGAACTAACTACAGTAATTCTATGATCATACAAATTTTAGTGTCCAGACACGTTAATGAAGTACATAACATGAGGGTAACAATTATTGTTTGCACCAGCACCGCTTCAGTCACGTCACAGTGAAAACGTGCAGCGTCAACAGTCAGATTGTGAAGAGATGGTAAACTAAAGCCCATCGGCAAGATCAAAGGTCAAAGTGCTTAAAGGGATCAAATGTGCAAGAAATACATGCTGTGGCTTTTTAACTTTGACCTCTGACAGAGGCAGACTGTAAACCAATGGAAAGAATGAGAAACAGGCAAGAACAACAACACAGGTCAGTTATTCTGTAGAGAGAAGCACATTTTAACCAGCAGGAGAGGAGTATTTAGTTTGTAAAATAATTATAATAACTGAATAGGTCATTCACTAACCAGTGTTAATATAATGAGACAATCTAATCTAATTATCTTTTCAGCTTGTTAAGAGTGACAGATTCCTCTATATGATATCACTATTGTTATAAAAAAACATGCTTATGGCACCTTATAGCACTATGAAAGGGAGTATCATTTGATTCTATGAAAGGGAGTATAATTTGAAATGAAAACAAAATGTGTAAGCTTACATTCTCATATTATCCACATAGAAATTGAATAGACATATTTAAAAATATTTCATATTTTGAAGACTGGAAAACATTAAATAACCATCTGTTAAAGATGAAAAGAAGAATACGCACAGTCTTAAACCCCACATGCCAGACTCAATGAGTGATATTCTGCAAAAGCAGCCATTGAAAACAGATCTTACCTTCTCTGAGTGCAAGGTTTAACTTAGACAGACTGGAGGCTTGAATAAATACGGAGGAGGGTCACTGGAGCAACAGTATGCAGTCCAGCCCCTCCCTGTCCCCTAAAATCCCACCCCTATCCCATTACTTCTGCCAAACTCATGGTGACATGACAAAGCAGTAAAAACTCCCATCGGTCCATTTACCTTTGTTCTGTTCTATATTGAGGGTCATGACACATCGATCTGTCCTACTTTCTGTGACACTGTCCTGTTTGCTTTACATGTGTTTGTTTGACAAAGTTAGTGTCCACCTTGTGATTAAGGTCACTGTTATTTTCTTTCTTATTTTTCTATCATATAAAATTTCACAATGATCCTATGTGTACAAATCACTGATCTATAATAGAGAGTCATTATATAGATCAGTGATACAAATACTGTTTGTGTTCATTTTCCATTTCATCCTAATGAACAGTCAGACGCCATATTGTATTAAACGCTGATGAAAACGAGGCTGTGAGGTACGGACTAACAGTTTTTACAATGGCACTTGCTGTTTTGGTCTACTTAAAAGTTTTTTTGGAACGACATTTACATCATTTACAAACAACAGTACAATCCATTAAACGCACTGTACTTCAGTGCCTCACACAGCCTCGCTTGCAAAAATTAATATGGCGCTACCCTGGCATAGATATATGGACTAAGGTCTATGATTGTTATTCTATCATTTTAAACCACACAGGCCGTTTTAAAAATACCTTTATATTTCATTATTATTAGTAGTAGTATCAATATTATTATCGTCTGTAACCGGTTCAAAATAAGCGCATATCACATAAACCTCAACAAAAAGCCTAGACGCGCACTGAGATCTGATTGGCTCCCAGAGAGGAAACACGCATCATGTGACGCGTGTGTCATCATTGACTGAGAATCAGCTGATCCTTCCAGTCTACTTTCACGACTCTGTCACGGTCGACCCTTCATGGCATTTTTTTGTGCGTTTTTAAACCTGTAGGCTTTTCGCAAATATTTCTAAAATCCATTTGTCACTCGCGACACGAGCTTTTTTCAGTCGGTGGAGTTTAAAATCCTCTTACAGCAGCCGCAGCAGCAGCAGTCATGGCGCTCAGCGATGCCGACGTCCAGAAACAGGTGAAAAGGCGTTCAAATGCATAATTTACTATTTACAACAGCACAACACTATAGCAAGATTAGCCACTTGGTGATTAGATGAATTCAGTGTTTTAGACGAGCCTGGCACTAGCATCGTGATATAATCCGATGATGTGGCCTTCAAGGTTGTTTGTCATTTATTCATTAGATACGCGCTTGAATCACGAGAAATGTCTGTATAATAATAGTGCATTTATAGTAACGCATTTTAATACGTACACATGTGCATAAAGGATGAATAAGGAAAAATTAAATTGAGCCGCTAATTCCAAAAGCAAATGCATCAAGGTAGTGTGATGAATAATATCAAATATTCACCACAAAATGACCCATTTTAGAATGCAGATGATGCAAAATATTAAGGAGTAGGACGTTGTGCATAGTAATAACATAGTAAGCACACACAAACACTAGACAGACACATTCCACATCCTTGTGAAAGAGCCACAAAAGGGGAACTCATTGCCACTGGAACTTTAAACAGATTTAAGATTATTTTTCTCAGAGGAAACAATAAACAGCGGTCTAACAATGTATTTTATATAATTTGAAAAGAAAGAAAGAAAGAGATTATACATGTGCATGTATTTACAAATTGGTTTAAAATATCGTAATGCTGTTAGACTTCTGCTGTTCAGATTCCTTTAAAGCCCCCCCCA